GGCTACTTGAACCCTCGTGCAAGGCAAGTTCTAAAGATTCGTGAGGAACCAATTCTGAATGAGGTCATGGAACATTTCAAACATTTAATTCAGGTTTTCACCTCTGAAACATTCCACAGTCAAGAAATGGTGACAGAAGTAAATGCTAATGTGCACAGTATATACAAATATTTTGAGGGAGCATTGCGTAACTCAGCCCCACTGGTGTCTGCGGATGCACCTGACGTTGAGTGCTGTGGTATTGATTTTTCAGGTATTTCAGACCTTCCATGCATCTGGACAGGAGAAAAATTCACTGGTTGCGAAAGAGTAGCTAAAGAGTGGAAAGCAGGCACAGGTCCCTACTTGTATCGAGTTCCAGATGGCTATTATACCCACCTTTGGAATGCCCTTGGCATTAAAGATAAATTTACAGCCCCTGACCTTATTAGAGCAATGAAGGAAATAGCTGATACCTATGGCTCCTCACAGGTTCCTGTTAACCTCTTGAGTGACATTCTATCAGAGTTAAGATCAGTTTTTGAAACTTGAAGACATGCCCTACAATCATGCTACCTGATGAAGATCGTGTCATGCATACAGCATCTTCGCTTGCTTTCAATGATGCACAGTGGCTCGAACAAGAGAAGGGTATTAAGTACGTCTACCACAAACTAGTGACTCGAGACCTAGCTCATAGACTAGGAGTAAAAATGGTACGCAGCAAAATCTTGAATAAACACAGGGTAAATCCAAAACCAACGCTACCGGAGGGTGAAACGTTTGGCCAGCGTGAGGAACTGACAACTAGAATCCAAGGCATACTGAAGGATTACCCATTTGATGTGACCATACTCAAGGAACTGCTTCAGAATGCAGATGACGCCAAGGCTACAAAGATGTACGTCATCTTAGACAAAAGGACCCATGAAGGAGGGTGTTTATTGTCTGAGGAATGGCAGGATTTACAGGGTCCCGCCCTGTTGGTGTGGAATGATAGTGTATTCTCTGAAACAGATATTAAAGGAATTCAGAAGCTGGGTAAAGGAAACAAGCAATCAAATGCGGATACCATTGGTCAGTATGGGATTGGCTTTAATTCTGTCTATCATCTTACAGACTGCCCTAGCCTTATAACAGCTGGTTCACTGTGTATATTTGATCCCCATTGCAAGTACACCCCTGATTCTTCTGTTACATCTCCCGGAGAGAAATTTAATTTAACTGAAAGGTTTTGGTCCCACTTTCCAGACATGAAGCCAGCTTACTTGCAGTGTAATCTGAATGGTCCATCAGAGTGCATGGAGATTCGCAGTGGGTCGCTGTTCCGTTTACCTCTCAGATACACTCAAGAGCTTGTTGATGCCTCGGAAATTGTGAATACAAAGTTGGAAGTGTTTGAGGAGGTTGTTTCTGCCAAAAAAAATGCACGAGTTTCTCGGGAGGTGGGCTCCACAAATGAAGCAGTCAATGTTCTTTCTTAATTCCGTAACTGAATTAAAATTTTTTGTCATTAGTGAAGGAAGTAGCAATACTCTCGAGATGGAACATCACTACCAAGTAAGAATAGATAGTTCAGTAGTTGCAAAAAGAAGTGAACTGCACCAAAAGTTGAAAAGCTTCAATGTGGCACAAGGAACAGAGCCGTTTGTCACAAAATACCAACTAACCCTTACTGACATGGGAAGTGGGAAGAAAAGGAAGGAGAAGTGGTTAATTCAGCAAGGGGTGGGGGATATATACAACAAACAGCAAGAATGGAAATATATTGCCTGGGTTAAGCCAAGACATGGAATTGCAGTCCCTTTGGAGCCTGCAACAGATCTTTTCAATTTCCGTGGTAGAGTTTTTTGTTTCTTACCACTTCCACTTGAGTGCAACCTACCTGTCCATATCAATGGCCACTTCATGCTTCATTCTAGTCGAAGAGCACTTTGGAAGACAGATGAAGCCGATAACAGTAAACACGTGTGGAACATAGCTCTTATAAAAGCCATTGCTAGCTCATATGCACATCTCCTGCTAACAATAAAGGAAGACTACAATATTTTGAGTGGAGAAGTTTATTTTAAAGGTGTTCAAAGGTATTATGGGACCTTTCCCAGTTGGACTGCTCCACAAGTGAAATCTTCATCAGATAAAGCTGACACAGGCCCAAAAAATAGTGAAGGGATTCATATGTCAATTCCTCCTGAGAAACCGAGGGCAGTTACAGTTAGTTCAGCTACACCTACACCGCAGAGTCAACCAGTAAGGCTAAGCTCAAAGGAATTAAAGTCAGCCTCATGTCATACTTCAAACACACCGTCAAGTGGCAGGCGTGTACCACTTCCTACAAATGAATGGTTGACTCTAGCTGAAAGTGTTTTCGAGACCCTATCTGCTATGAATGCTCCTGTTATAGCAGTAACCCTTAAATCCAAAGACATGCATACTATTGAATGGTGTCCTCTAAAACATGAAGATCCTGCTTTGCAAGTGTACTTTCTCGACTATACACCCCCCACTACCAGTGCAGTGGTAAAAATGATGGGAATGAAACTAACAAATACAAAGAACTGGGTTAGAAAGCATTTTGAGCATGTTGGTTGCTTCATTCCAAATGCAACACCAAAAAGTGTATACGAATATTATGCAATGTTCCATCAGAAAATCCTGCCGGTTGATAAGACCTTTCCCTGCCGTCTACAACAGACTTCATTCAAATCAATTGAAAATTTCATGGAATTTTTGGGATATATTTTGAAAGCATTTCCACCTGAAGCAGAGCAAAATTGTGAAGAGGACACTGTTTCTTTAAAGGAGGTGATTGAGTATCCCCCTTTAATAGTAACAGCTGATGGTATGCTCAGATACTACAACCAAGAAAGTGATAAAGTAATTGCATCGGCATACTCAGCTCTGTTTCCAAATTGTTCACAACTTTTTCTACACCCAAAACTCATAGACATCAAAATTCCAAAACACTTCATATTAACTCCTTCCAAGGAGAATGAAAGTGCTTGCATGGACATAATTCACCACTGTCTTGCTAGTGCACTACCTGATGACCTAAATAATGTAGCAGACACCCAGTGTTCTAATGCAAATATTCCGCTAATTACCAACATCTGGAAATGCTTGAGTGCAGATACGTTTTTTAATGCATTTTTGAAGAATATTCTTGAGAAATGGGCAGTTTTGATGGCCACGAATGGCAGACTGTACAGTTGTTCTCAGAGAAAGAAAGCTGTACTTCCAATTGTCCCTCTAAGTGATAAAAATGAAAGCAGTGATAATGAGAGTGACAATGCAGATGATGAAATCAGCTTAAAAGTATGCATACAAGCTTCTAGTGTGTGTCAGCTCCTTAACTTACCATTCTTAGATATTGAAATAGTACGACCCTTTACAACAGTGACAAATATATGTCCAACACTGTTTAAGCCAGCTTTCATCCTTCGAAACCTCCACAATTTTCACACTAAATACGATATTTCGAGGCTCATCACTAAAGACATGGCTCTGATACTTTTCGCCTACTTTGAAAATATACACCTAAAAAGAGACAAAAAGAGCTTGTGCTATCTGAAACAGCTTCCACTGTTCCAAACCCACCGGGGGAACCTTACCTCTATAGGTGGAAAACAGGTTTATCTGTGGCCAGATGAGATGTGTTATGATGGTGAGGAAATTTGGCTAGGAAACGAGGAACATGTTGTTTTTCTGGATCCACAGGGTTCCTGGTCTGAACTTCAACTCCATAGTGAGTTGGGGGTGGCCAACATATATCCAACTGAGATATACTGTCGTTTTGTGTTTCCAAACTTCGGATATATGAATGAAAGTCTTCGATATAAGCATTTATTCCACATTCAGGAATCTATCTTTGAAGATGCAAGGAATCACTCAGAGGATAACACGAGTAATAAGGGGCATTCTTCTATGAAATTTATTAAGGCTTTAAAATCCCTGCCATGTATTGGCCACGATCACCCCCTGAATGCTATACGTGACTTTTATGATCACGAAAACACCATTTTTTGTACGTTCAAGGAAAGTTTCAGGTTTTTGCCCAACAACTTCACACAGAGACATCAGGATAACTCGCGGCGGAGACACTTCCTCAATGAACTTGGTTTCCACTTTGAAATAACACCAGCAGAGTTTTTGGGTCTATGTGAGGAAATGGCTAATCACATACATAACACACGAGAGAAGTCCTCTGTCCTCTTTAAACATCTCTTTGAAAGAGATACCCAAGAATGGTATTCTGACTCTACCTTTCTTTCAAGGGTGGTGAATATTCCATTTGTGCTAGCAGATAGTTGTGAACAGTACACATGGATAGCCAAAACACCACCAGAAAAACACGCCAGTGGTACATGTGAAGTTCACACTAGTGAAGATAAGTCTGTTTATCTCACTCAATTGAATGGTGCATGCATGTTTGAAGTTGCAAGATTAGTCTGGTCGGTCAAGCCAGTATATCGTACTCCACAACAGAGTATGAACCCTACAAATGTCCTCTTTGAACTTGAAGTAAATTTCAGAGTTACTGTGTCGGATGTGGTTCAACACCTCGTTACTATCTCTGAAACCGGAAGAGCAGATCAAAGGCTCTTTGATACATACACTGTCCCAGTCCCTGCTATCAATGACATAGGGTTGATTGATGTCGTTGCAAAATGCTTGAGTTCTTAAATAGAAATGCAGATGGAAATGTAGACATTCTTAAGATGACTCCTTGCATTCCAGTCCCGGCATCTGGTGATGACAAAACAAAGATTGTCCTGGTCAAACCTTCCCAGGCATTAATGACAGATAATGCCAAGGCTTTCTTTCCGTACTTGCACAGAGTACCTTTTGAGCTGATGGCCTCCAAGCAGTTGCTGCAGAGAATTGGAGTAAAGGATTCCATCCAGCTTTCACACATCCAATTTGTGTTGAATACAATTCACAGCCAACTGAATGGGACAATGATTGATCCTAACACAAGGAACACATTTGTCTGGCAATAAGTCATTGTGTTTGCACCACACTTCAAAACTGGTGTACCCAGATTCGTACAGCTACAAAGACTGCAAACTGCCTCAATCAACAGATTTTATTCTTCTTCATTATCCTGACCCCCAAAAGGATCAGTTTGATTTTGCCAACCAATTTTGTCCTTTATTACCAGAGGAAGTTAGGCCAAGGCCACTGTCAGAGTTGTGCCATCAGCAGATTTTGGAAGAATGTGCAAATTGCAGTGAGGACATTGAGATGGCAAAGTGTCTGAAGATAGCACTCAGGCTTGAACAGCTTCCAAATGTGTGCATTTCAACATTAAAAAAGTATGCAAAGCACAGTGTCAGACTGGAAAACATCAAAGACTTGCTGTCTTCCTTCTTTCAGCGGGTACAGGTTGTCACAGTTGAAGATCTTGAGGTGGAGCTTGCAATGAAGAATAGCACATCAGTCATAGGAACAGCAAAAGTCGAATTTTATCTCAGTACAGCTGACAGCCAAAATTTCTGTCTCTATCTTGACTCAAAGATAACTAGAATGGTGGAAGAGCATATCCATAAAACTATGGTACAAGAACTGCTTGGAGCAATCAACAAGATTATTGCAACATCAACACCAGGTATTGTGGTACCTGAGGTTCATGAGGCATTTTGCCTGTTTCTAAAGTCAAAGACAGACGAAGAGCTTCATAAGGCCTGCAGAATTCGTGGCATTGAAATAGGAGATACCGATTTTGTGAGCACATTACAACCACAATTAGGACAACCGATTCCAAAGGAGTGGCACTACATGCTGGACCAGAACCCAGACAATATCTTTCACGCACAAGAGATTGTGGGTTATGAGATAACTGAGGGAATCTTCGTTTTTGCCCAAGTTTTATATGCAATTCCTCCTGATGATTTAGATGTGGACCAAGACTCGATTAATCCATTACTGACTAGATACATGATAGCTCTCCCTGACAAAGAGATGACTGTGACTTCCCTGGACATATACAAGTGTGTTAGGAAAAGAATAGATAACCTAGCTACAGCCCACACTGATGAACGAATAGAAGAAGGTTTAAGAGAAGAAGAACAGTTTACAGATGCTGCTGCAGCACAGAGGCACCTGTGCCAACAATTGAAGCAGATATGGAAGATGGATGAGCCAGAAAGAAGTAGAGCTATCCGTCGTCTATACCTACGATGGCATCCAGACAAGAATCTTGATAATGTAGAGCTAGCCAACAAGGTATTCGTATTTCTAAAGAAACAGATTGAGCGACTGGAGCAGCGTTTGGACCCTGAAGAAAAAGAAGAGGATGAGGTTGATGCTGAGTCATCATTGCCTCAATGGAGAGAGCGCTACAGTGCCTGGGAGGAGACGGTTAACTCTCACACTAGATACAGAAGTCATCATGAGCAGTATTTCAGGAGTCGACCCAATTTTGGGTGGGGTAGGCTCTGGAATGACTGGAGGAAGTTGGCCAACACCACAACCAAATTTCTCTGAGGGACAACGCTGGGTTCAGCAGGCAGAGTATGATTTCATGGCTGTTGAAGCACTGTACGAGAAGGCTGTGGCAAGTAATAACAAGCTTTTCTCACATGTCTGTTTCATGGCTCACGAAGTTGCTGAGAAGGCGCTAAAGGGAGGAGTGTATGCAGTCTGTGGCTTTGGTACAGTTTCTCTGAAAACTCACATGATTCATAACCTTTCATGCATGCTTCGAGGGGAGAGGATGGACTTAGCGGCAGATCTCCCTTCCTTGACAGCCACCCTCCCACTGGAGAGGTATTATCTCGAACAAGGTTTCCCAACCGCTGTCCTCCTGGGTGTGTCCCATCAGATCTGTTCACCGTTGCTGATGCACAGCAGGCTCGTGAGAATGCCGGCAAGATACTGACTATTGTTAAGAGCATATTACGTACATGTTAATGAAGTTCATTTGTCAGAGTTGTATAATAGCTAGCATTTTTAGTAATTTCGTATATACACATGATACATGACACATGTAGTGTATTGCAACTCTCATCAATGAGTATATGCAGCACATGGTTATATCAGAGCGTCGGTAGACGCTCTATAAGGTAAATGTTGGTATTTTGAACCACCTAAACTTTCTTCTTAATTTTTCCTACAAATACTGGTTAATTAAAGTGAAATTTATGTTACATGACTATCAGGACATGGCGATTCTAAAAATCAAATCGGTTTCAAATATATTTACAGTAGGTAATGCAAAATATTTGTTTTATAACCCTCTAAAAGCAGCAATTATGAGTCAGTGATGGTATTATGAGTCGACTTAAGACGTATTCTTTGATGAAGCAAACAGTTGCCCAGTCGTGTTTCACAATGATTACTTAGATATACAAAAAAGCAAAAAACCACAAACTAATCATAATTTGACCAAAACATTAAATTTTATTTAAAACCTCCCCCAAATTAAACCCTTTGAGTCAGTGATGCAATCATTGTGACCTCTTGATTTTTGGCTATTTTGTCGCATAAGTAACCCGCAGCACGTGTTAAAATGTGGTGACGATTTGCTGGGCTAACGCCCCGACGGTAGGAAGCAGTTACACAGTGTTTGGCATTTTTTTGGAATATTTACCCATAATGCCCCCTGATTCATAATACCAACACTTACCTTATAGGGATGACGCGGGTGAAATCTCACGTGATCCGCGTACAAAACGCCTCAAA